AGAGGAAGGTGAGAAGGTGGAGGTTGGAGAAAAGGGGGGCATAGAGCAGGAGAAACCAGAGGACCAGGAGGAAGAGCAGGGAAAGGGACAGTAAGAAGAGGGAAGCCAAGGAAGGACCACAGGAGGAAGATGGGGATGCACAAGAAATTTATAGGAGGCCACTGGTTTGGACTGAGCCCCTGCCCTCAGTGGCACACACCAAACCATAGTGGAGTTCCTCGTGCTGGTGTGCCTAAACCAAGGTGTTAGCCCAGCCTTCCAGTTTCATTCAGCAGGAGAAGGAAGTTCCCTAGGCTTTAACCTTTACAAGGAAAGTAACTTTGAAAGGATCATTCTGCTTTTCTGTTCTGTTTCTTCTTCCTTCTGCCTGCTGCTGTCTGTAAAGAAATCTCTGTTCAACTCATCCGGGCACACATTCTATTTTACAGAATGGGGTGTTGCCCAATTCTAGAATGGCAAATAGAGGTCAACCAAGGGCTGGGCGCAGTGGCTCATGCCTGTAATCCCAGCACTTTGGGAGGCCAAGACAGGCGGATCACCTGAGGTCAGGAGTTCCAGACCAGCCTGACTAATATGGTGAAACCCCTTCTCTACTAAAAATACAAAAATAAAAATAGTTGCGTGTGGTGGCCTGCGCCTGTGGTCCCAGCTACTCGGGAGGCTGAAACAGGAGAATTGCTTGAACCCAGGAGGTGGAGGTGGCAGTGAGCTTAGATCCTACCACTTCACTCCAGCTGGGAGACAAGAGCAAAACTCCCTCTCAAAAAAAGAAAAAAAAAGTCAATTAAGACTGTAATTTTGTCTTTTGACAGGAATGAATGTTGAGTGAATTGTGACTGAACATGCGGAAGGGGTTTCCTTCCATATAGGCCACCTGGCAAACTCCTACTCCTCCAACAAAACCCAAGCCTCCTCCTCCCGGGAGCCTTCCCAGCCCCCACCCCGCCCCCTACAGCCACCTGTGAGCACTTCCCACACTACACTCATTTACTGAGACCCCTGCTGCCTGCCTGGCTCTGCCCTAAACTTCACAAGCATCATCTCCTGAACTCTCCACTGCAATCTCAGGAGCGGCACTATTATTGCTCCCATGTTAGAGGATACTGAAGCACGGAGTGGTTGCTCTGTCTGATGCCTGAGTGGCAGGACTGGGGCTTTGCTCCGTGGCTTCCGGGGACATCATGGGTGAGGAAGTGCTTCGAAATCTTCAGAGCACCCTCCTAATGCAAAGTATGGTTGCTGCATTTGAATTATTTTTCTCCCCCTCCCAACAAGTTTTGGAAAGCAAGGCTGCAGAAAGACACGGAACTCTGGAGGCCTGCCCCGGCGATGTCAGCGGCCCGGGGCAAGACTGTCTGGGCTCCGGGATCTCTAAGCCTCAGTTTCCCCACTGAGGGCGGCGAGGTGCTGAGGCCCTGCCCAGCTTGGGCTGAGCCTGTGACTGACGGCGCTCGCCTCCAATCAGGGCCTGCGCAGTTCGGGCCGCCCGGCCGGGAGCCCCGAGGATGACGCTTTGCTGACACCTGGTGGCTGCAGGGGGAAGTGGCGCCTTGAGGACGGGAAGAAAGGGTCGGGCTGGAAAGGCGAGAACTGTGGGCCAGGACGGGAGGGGAGAAGGGAGAACGCGCAGAGCACTCCCCACGAGAGAGGGAGGACGGAGAGAGCACACCCCACCCAAGGGAGAAAGAGGGCGAGGAAACGGAGGACGGACAGACCACTCTTTAGGAAGTCCCCAGGAAGGCTGGAAGTCCGAGGTCAAGGTGTGGGCAGGGTCAGCCCTGTGGCTGCGAGTGACACTGCTCCGTGTTTCTCTCCTAGCTTCTGGTGAGTGGCCGGCAGCCTGCAGCACTCCTTGCCTAGCGGAAACGTCACCCCGAGCTTCATCTTCACATGACTTTCTCTCTGCCTGCGTGGCTGTCTCCAAATTTCCCGTTTTCACTAGGACACCAGTCATATTAGACTAGGGGCCACCCCACTGCAGTATGCCCTTTGCAGGGACATAGATGAAGCTGGAAACCATCGTTCTCAGCAAACTGACACAGGAACAGAAAACCAAACACCACCTGTGCTCACTTGTAAGTAGGAGTTGAACAATGAGAACATATGGACTTAATATAACGAATTACATTTGGCCAGGCAAATGTAATTCCCAAAGTGCTCACACCTGCGGTCACAGCACTTTGGGAGGCCAAGATGGGAGGATCGCTTGAGGCTAGGAGTTTGAGACCAGCCTGGGCAACACACGGAGACATCCCCCCAATCTCTACATAAAAAAAAATAAAATAGGCCGGGTGCGGTGGCTCAAGCCTGTAATCCCAGCACTTTGGGAGGCCGAGGCGGGTGGATCACGAGGTCAAGAGATCGAGACCATCTGGTCAATATGGTGAAACCCCGTCTCTACTAAAAATACAAAAAATTAGCTGGGCATGGTGGCGCGTGCCTGTAATCCCAGCTACTCGGGAGGCTGAGGCAGGAGAATTGCCTGAACCCAGGAGGCGGAGGTTGCGGTGAGCCGAGATCGCACCATTGCACTCCAGCCTGGGTAACGAGCGAAAACTCTGTCTCAAAAATAAAAAATAAATAAAAATAAATAAATAAATTAAATAAAATAGGCAGGTGTGGTTGCACACCTGTGGTCTCTGCTTCTCCAGAGGCTGAGGCAACAGGATCCTCTTTTATTCTTGCCCTTTTATGATTCCATTTAGAAGCATCCCTTCCATGGTGCCTATGGAGCACTTACTGGTTTCTACCTTTATGATAATCATTGTAACCACTTTAGCTCATTCAACAAGGTTTCACTTTTCCAAATGTGAGGGGATGCTTCTAAATGGAATCATAAACGGGCAAGAATATCTAAAACATTCCTGAAGAAGAGTAACGTTATAGGGAAGTGGTCCCCAAACTTTTTGGCACCAGGGAACGATTTTGTGGAAGACAATTTTTCATGGGCTGTGGGCGGGGACGTTTGAGTCTCATAAGGGGCGTGCAACTCAGGTCCCGCGCATGCGCAGTTCACAGCAGAGTCTGCAGTCCTGTGAGAACCTGGTGCTGCTGCTGATCCTACAGGAGGGGAGCTCAGGCTGTAATGCTCACCTCCTGCTGTGCAGCCCTGTTCCAGGCTCCGAGAGGCCCAGGGATTCAGGGCCCCTGTTTTATGGGACCTCAACACTGACTATAAATCAATAGTCATTAACATAATGTTGCAAGAGGGCACAGATACACAAATGGACTAGAGGAACAGAAAAGACAGCCCACAGAATCACCCCATCTGTGGGGAAGGGGCTGGATCAGAAAGGTGGAGGAAATGGATCCTTTGTGAAGTATTTTAGGACATGGGACGGCCAAAGTGAAAAAAAGAAAAAGAAACTGAATCTTTACCATACACTCTATACAAGAATCAGCTCCAGAAAAATTAAGAACACAAATGTGAAGAGCAAAAGTTTAAAAAGTTTAGGAAAAAAATATATATTGGGGAATTTCTTTGTGACCGGGGATTAGAAAGAATTTCTTCAAGGTTGGCGAGGCGCAGTGGCTCACACCTATAATCCCAGCACTTTGGGAGGCCAAGGCAGGCAGATCACAAGTTTAGGGGTTCGAGACCAGCCAGGCCAACATGATAAAATCACATCTCTACTAAAAACACAAACATTAGCCGGGTGTGGTGGCATACTTCTGTAATCCCAGCTGCTTGGGAGGCTGAGGCAGAACTGCTTGAACCCAGGAGGCAGAGGTTACAGTGAGCCAAGATTGCAATACTGCACTCCAGCCTGGGCAATAGAGCATGACTCTGTCTTGAAGAAAAAAAGAGAGAGCACGAGACTCTATCTTGGAGAAAAGAGAGAGAGAAGAAAGAGAAAAAAGAAAGAGGAAGGAAGAAAGAGAGGGAGGGACGGGTAGAGAGAGAAAAAAATGAAAGAAGGAGGAAGGAAGAGAGGGAGGGAGGGGTAGGGAGAGAAAGAAAGGAAGGAAGGGAGGGAAAGAAGAGGAAAAAAGAAGGGAGGGAGGAAGGAAAGAAAGAATTTCTTCAAGGAGATATGAAAGGCACAAACCGTAAAGGAAAATATTGCTGTTTGACTACATTAAAATTTAAAATGGCACCAAGAGATACCAAAAATAAAGTGACAAGAGGCGGCGCCCAGGAAGCCGATATTTGCACTATGTATTAACCCTAAAAGCTGAGTCTAAAGACAGAAGGCCTACAGCAACTCGTTTCAGCCTCTTTGCAATCCTATTAGAAAGGTGCCATTTCTCTCCCATCTTCCTGCATAGAATCATCAAGGCTGTGAAGGAGCAAAAGGACTTGCCTGAGCCTCTATCCTTAGCCAATGCCCCAGAACAGCAGTATCAACCTAGCCTTCATTCCCAGACCTTTGCATCGCCTCAAGCCCAACTACAGCCAAGATGCTCACAGCTCAATAGTCTCTTCCTCATTGAAGCAGCTTGGATGTGTGTAGATTGTTAAATTCTAACAGTCACCCCCAGCCATATAATGAATGAGGAGACGAGTGAACACACTCACAAACATGGCATTCTGATCTCTTGCTGGGATGGGGTGGGGGGGTGTCAGGGTTCTTGGCTTCTCTTACAAATCCAAAGACTCCCCGATTCAAGGGGATGACACGATAATGTGAGAATGACAGGCAGTGGATGCAATGGGTATGTTTTTAAGAGCTTGGGCACCCATCACATGCCCTCTAATGTGCTCAGCAACCAGCATATTACAGGGAGCTCAGAGCTCAACCAAGCCAGCCACTCAGAGGCAAGGGACCTGCAAGTCAAGTGAAGAAACAGTCTCAGAGAGGTTGGGCACTGTGTCCAAGGTCACACAGCTAAGCAGCTGCAGAACTGTAAGACTCAATAAGGGTTCTGTTGCCCTACTCCTAGCCCAGATACTTGCTGATTCTCATTCCTCTCTCTCTGTCACACACACACACACACACACACACACACACACACACACCAGCTTCCAGGGGGATGATCAAAGACCCAGAGCAGACAAGTTGCAAGACACACTTTATTCACTCTCTGGGAGGTCTGCAGGGTTCCTGGGCAGCAGCCCTGGTTCCTGGGAAGGAGGCATGATGGGGAGGGCACTAGTTGGAGGGGTGGAAGGCGCCACGTTGGTGCCACTGCATGTCGCGGATGCGGCGCACGGACTGCACCTGGGGGTGAGGGGCCCCAAAGTCGCTGCTGTCCTTGTAGTCTCCCTTCTCCAGCAGGTACTGCAGCCCACGGTAGCCAGGGTACTGGTAGCCAACCCACCTGCAGGACCAGAGGTGAGAGGAGGGTGAACGGGGGGGGGGGGGGGGGGGGAACAGGGAGAGAAGCAGAGAGAGAGGTGAGGGGAGAGAGACAGAGCATCCATAAGCCACTAGGAAGGGTGAAGCCTCCCAACCAGTCACTTCCCAGGGGCAAGTGGGACGCCCTTTCCACACCACCCTCTCAGCACCGAGCCGCTGCTTTCTTTCTTCTCTTGATGGGGAGCTCACTGCCTCCTAAAGCAAATTTTGACTGAAGGCCTGGTACTGGGGTCAGGGCAAGGGGGGTGAAACCTTTTTTTTTTTTTTTTTTTTTGAGACAGAGTCTCACTCTGTCACCAGGGCTGGAGTGCAGTGGCATGATCTCGGCTCACTGCTACCTCCACCTCCCGGGTTCAAGTGATTCTCCTGCCTCAGCCTCCCAAGTAGCTGGATTACAGGTGCTTCCCCTATGCCCAGCTAATTTTTTCTATTTTTAGTAGAGATGGGGTTTCACCATGTTGACCAGGCTGGTCTCGAACTTCTGACCTTGTGATTCACCCGCCTCAGCCTCCCAAAGTTCTGGGATTACAGGCGTGAGCCACCACATCCAGCCGGGGGTGAAATCTTAAGCTCACTGAAGCTTAGAATAAGCCAGGCCTTTGAACCATCTTTGTCCACCCCTACCCCATCCCCAAGCTCAGCTGCAAGGCCAAAGAAGAGTTGGGGGGAGGTTCCAGGGGCTACTTAATGAAAGTGCTGGTCTCTCCAGAAAATGTCACACGGGCCTGCCCTGCAAGGACCTGCCTGGCCAGTCTCTGTGGACACCTCCAGCTCTACTTTGCATTCTTAGGCTCCCACATCTCTGTATTCCAGCCACTGTGGCCTTCGTAGAGTTTCTCAGAGCTACCAGGCGCCCCACTACACACACTGCAGGGCCTTTGCACATGCTGTTCTCATGGCCTGGGATGCTCTTCCTTGGCCTCTACCTCTGCAATCCATACTGTTCCTTGCGGTCTCAGCTCAATTATCTTTTCTTCAAGGAAATAGCTTAGACTCGCCTGGATTCTTAAATTATTAACAGTTGCTCCTTCTAGACTGTTGGCTACACAGGGCAGAAGCCAGATCTCTAGTCTCCATCACACTGAGCACCTGAATCAATGCCTGGCATGGCAGTACTGACAAGTTAAATGAATGAATGAAAAAGAGAATGAATGAGGGAATGGAAGGGAATAGGAGCACAGAACTTTGCACTTTATTTTAGGAGTCTAACAAACCCCAAGAAGCTAGTATATTTGGCTAAACTGTTTCTGCTGGGGGAAAAGAGCTTACTTTCTAGCACTTGCTGATTTCTATGCTGTAAATGCATGCACCGTGGCTGGTTTCAGGCTACCAGTGATTAGTCAACCAGTTCACACAAATTCTGAAAATGTAAGAGTCGGCTCTCACAAGCTGCTATAAGCTATTTCCAGCACACGGCTGCCCAAAGCTCATCTATGGATGCCCATGGAATCCAAATTTTTTACTGTGAGAAATCCCTCATTGCTGATGGCCAGGATCAATATGCCCAAGAAGTTTAATTCAGCGGAAAATGAAACCTCCTGTTCCCAAACTTAGGGACACGTGCAGTCAAAGGCAGTCTGGGCTGGACGTCCTGTGGCTAAGAGCTTTAAGACTCCTCAACTCATTCCTTCCCTTCAGCCTCAGCCTAATCCTCCCTCTGACATCCATGTCCTGCTCACTGGCGCTGAGGTTAAGGCCAGGGTTTCTCCACTTCAGAGGCAAGCCATTTCCCCAAAGGCAGCTGTAAGCCACCTGTGGGCAGGGAATTCCCATTCATTTTCCAGTGGGAAGCCAGAGGTCAGCAGAGTTTACTGACGCATGCAAGATCGCCAGCGTGTACAGTGCAGAGCAGGACCCAGAGTCTCAGTTCCTGGGGCAGGGTGACCCAGGGCTGGCAATGCACTTACGTGCCACTCTGCACCCGCACAGAGGACACCTTCTCCTGGTAGCCATGGGCATGGAAGCTGGGCACGTCGTCATCTATGATTTCCATCTTCTTCCCGGTGAAGTTGGGGTTTTCATAGAGGATGATCTTGTGCTCTTGGCTGTCCTATTGGCAGAGGATGGGGGAAGTGAGTGTGGGGGAGGGGCCCAAGGTTGGCCTTCCCACCCCATGCTCATGCCCCAGAGTTGGAATCAGCCTGTCCCACCTATGACTCCCTGTCCAATGCACCCACCACGTGGCTATGATAACTGCTGTTGGATCGAAGCCATTTGTGAAGTTTCTACTGGGTCATACTCTGAGATGCTACACTTCGGGGAATATTTGATTCCGAAATGTCATTTTTCCTCCTATGCTTCAAGTTTCTTTTATAAATGGCAGCAACAATTGACCCACCCACCCACATGTGCACACCCATACAGGCACACACACACAGACACACACAGGCACACATGTGCACATAGGCACACACACATACACTCACATATGCACACACAGAGACACACACGTATGCACACACAGGCACACACGCACATGCATGCACACATGCACACACACGCACATGCATGCACACATGCACACACACACATGCACACACACAGGCACATACACGCACACACAGGCACACACACAGGCACACACATAGGCACACAGGCACACACAGGCACACAGGCACACACACATGCACACACATAGGCACACACAGGCACATACACACAGGCACACACGCACATACAGGCACACATGCACACACACGCACACACAGGCGCACACACACAGGCGCACACACACAGGCACAGGCTAATTGTGCCTCTAATTGGCACCTCAGATATTTGGATTTTCCTTCATTTCTGCTTCTCTTCCCATCCTCCTGTTCCTATGACATTTTCCTTAATTATCTAATCTAATCCTTTAAACTAAAACCCTTATCCCTTAAACATAAAATTCTTTTGGCAGATGAGAAAAGTAAGGCACAGAGAGGTCTAATGACTTGCTCAAGGTCACACAGCTGGGAGTAGCACAGCCACCATATGAACCCAAGTCTATGGGGGGCTTAGGCCCAGCATTCTCCAACTTTCCAGTTAGTGCTGGGAGGAACTAGTCGGGGCTTAGAGGGTTTGGGAGTGCAACTGAGCAGTGACGGACCCTGTCTCCTCCTCGAGAGTTCCGACATTCACACACTAGCAAGAATCAGGACCTCCGAAGCAATAAAAACTCCCACTGGCATGAGTCTCGAAGAAGATTAAAACCACCTTCTCCTCCAGCCCTGAAATCAGGATTTCTTTTAGTATTTATGATGGCCATTGGTTATTGAGCAACAACTCTGGGACAGGAGTTGCCCAACCCCAGGGGGGCACCAACCACATAAAATAGAATGTGAATGTGCCCTCTGGAGCATTTTGTAGTCTTGTGATTGGAGCCCCCTAGCGTTGTGCAGTGTGTCAACCCACAAGCTAATAAGCACATTGGAATCTCAGGACAGTAGATACTAATATGCGCATTTTATAGATGAAGAAACTGAGTCTCCGGGAAGTAAAACGACATTTGCAAGGTCACCCAGTGAGGAGGTCCCTCACCAATCAGAAGGGGCACAATGCTAGAGGGGCAGGCTCCTTCCTGGTCCCCAGACCCTCTGGCTTCAAGGTGGCAGAGAGAGAAAGTAGGATGATGGGCAGAGAGAGGAAGCGAGATAATGACAGGGACTCACCACTTTGATGGGCCTCAGGGAGCTGAGGGAGTCTGTCCTCCGGCTGCTGGTCCACGAGTCCCAACGGGGGTACTCGCCCTTCTCAAACACAAACTGCTCGCCCTTGCAGTTCGCCTGTTCATAGCCCACCCAGCTGCCATGGAGACAGACAGAAAGGGGGCAGGTCAGTTCCACTCCAAACTTCCTACGGCAGGATCCTGGCTACTCTCACCGGCCCCAGGGTTCACCCTTGCCCGGTCCAGCAAGATGTAGCAGCCCCACGCAAACCTTAGCACAGCAAACCCAGGTGCACAATGCCCTCAGTTATCCAGAACTCGGTGCTATGCTGCCTTCAACCACGTGAATGCAGTTAAGAAATAAGAAGGTGGTCTCCATGACAGCCCAGCAACAAATACCAATATATAGACGCCATGCACTAGAGCCAATAGTATGCTGGTCAATGAACAGCCAACCCTCAAAAACCAGAACAAAAATTAACAGTCTTGGTTTGCAGTGTTTGCCAATTTCCGTGGTGTAAGTTGCTCCCAGCCTGGAAGATTTCAAGCTATCAATATGACACAGCTGCCAGCGGAGCTGTTACAAAGCTGTGCTCTGACCGCAAAGTGTGAATTCTCTCCCTAGGCTGCCAGACCCCAAAGCTTGGTCCCCAGATTGCAGACGGGAGCACAGCAAGGGTAGATTCCCCCGACTCCCCAACCTGATCACTTCACCCGCCGTCCCTGACCAGGGGAGGCCACCAAGGTACTTACGGTCCAGCCTGCACTAGGACAGAGCCTGCCTTCTCCACGCCAGTCTCCTTCAGGTTGGGGCAGGGGCCATTGAGCTCATGGGAGTGGCCCTGAAAGTTTTCCTGCTCAAAGATGATGATCTACAACAGGAAGTGAGACTCAGACCCTCAGCATGATGAAGAGGAGCGAGAGCAGGGTAGACATGGGGAGGGAGCTCAGAGAACCCAAAGGATGCTGAAGGATTCACCCTCCAGAGTGACAAACCAAATAGAAAATCAGACAGCCCTGGCTCCGGCTGTAAGCTGCCGTGGGACCTCGAGCCTGCATTTCTCCTCTCTGAGTCTTCCTATTAAAATAGGAAATAAAGACAGAACCTAGGCCAGGTGTGGTGGCTCTCACCTGTAATCCCAGCATTTTAGGAGGCTGAGGTGGGAGGATTGCTTGAGCCCAGGAGTTCCAGATCAGCCTGGGCAAGATGGTAAGACCCCACTTCTAATTTTTTTAAAAAACAAAAAGAAACAAGGACAGAAACTGCCTTATGGTGTTGTTTGCTAGAAGGATTCAGGGGAGCATAATGGTTAGCACTCAGTATTTGCTCTGCTTGTGGGAGACACCATTAGGTTACTTAAGAGATATGCTCTAGATCCCAGTAAGTGGCAGAGGTGAAACTGGAGCCCAGGCTTGTCTGATGCAGCTGAAATGGAAGCAGCACTTTGCAAACCTTAACATGCATATGTAGCACCTGGGATCTGGATAAGTGCAGTTTCTGAAGGAGCAGGTCTGGGGTGCAGCCCTGGATTCTGCATTTCCAATCATCTCCCAGGTGATGCTGGTGCCACTGGCTCATGGACCGAAATGGGAGTAGCGACATGCTGGACCACGCTGAGCTTCTCCTTCTCACATTAGAGCTGCACCAGGACCTTCAGATACAGCCCTTACCTCTAGTTCGCCCATAAAATGACACACACCTGGGCCCTTTCTCCAAGACTCCACAGAATTATCAGGTCTCCCTATGACCTCCCCCTTGAAATGCTTCTTAAGATGACTTCACTCCCCTTGCCTCACCTGGTTTCACTCATCAGCCCAAGGGAGGGGCTCACAGGATCCCCATCAGGGAAACTGAAGCTCTGCAAAGTGAAGGGACCCACCCAACATCCCAGTTGCAAGCATTAACCATGAGGCTACCTGCCCCCTTTCATGGTTCCAGTGAGAATTTTGGGGGCTGAGTTTTCCAGCCACATTTCCCCAGCAAACTACCCGTGGATGAAAAGATGGGCTCAGGTCAGCACACTCCCGGTGCGGGCAGCGACAGAATCGACACGGTCAGCACTGGCTGGATAAACACAGCCCTCTCTCCCAGGCCTGGGATTAGCCACACAAAGAAAGGGCAAGGGGTGCCCAAAAGGGCTTAGAGGTGAATTCCATGGGCTCAATCCAGCCTTTATAGTCAGTGACCCAGCCAGCCACTGACTCAGCCAGAGATAGGGTCAGGAGACAAGGGCTCTGATGTGCCCTGTGTTAGATCCAGTTGTACAAACCTAAAAAGTAATTCAATACTCTGGGCCTCAGCTACCTCATCTGTAAAATGGGAAATCAAGAATATGGAAGTTTGGGGCCAGTTTATTATGACTGCTGTGGCCTGGGACATGGGGGCATGGGGATGGTTAGCACGTAATATTTGCTCTGCTGGTGGGAGACATAATTATGTTAATTAAAAGACATACTACAGACCCCAAGGGACAAGTGGAAGAGCTGAAATTGAAGCCCAAGCTTGTCTGATGCAGCTGAAATTGAAGAGCACTCTGCAGACTTTAAACTGTGCATATGGCACCTGGGATCTTGATCAAATGCAGTTTCTGAGGGAGCAGACCTGGGGTGCCCACCTGAAGTGGGGTAGGCAGGTGAGGAAGGGCAGTTTCTCCATGCATTTGAAATCCCAGGAGCTCAGAGAACCCAGGAGCTCAATAGCATTTTTATTATTAATCAACAGAGTGGAGGGCAAAACGTTACACATTGTCTGATCCTTTAAGCCCGCACCGTCCCACACAGCAGCCGTTAGTCACGATGGCTGCTGAACGCGGGTCGTTCGTCGGTACTATCGCTTATACTGTGCTATCACATTTTGAAAATTCAGAATGGAAAAATAATGTAAAACATCTCCCTGATAATTCTTACACTGACTATACATCAACATGGTCAGCTTTTGGATATACTGGGTTTCATAAAATATAATATGAAAATAATTTCAGCTATTTCTTTTTATTTTTATGATGTGGCCACTGGAATATTTTGCATTACCTATGTGACTCATGTCTATATGTCTAGTGAAGAGTGCTTCTTGCTTTTTTTCCAAACTCACCCAGCTCTTTCCCACCTCAGAGTCTTTGCAACTGCTGTTCCTTTTGTCTGGATGCTCTCATCAACCCTCACCCCCATTTTTTATTTTTCTGTAGAGATGCCATCTCATTGTGTTGCCCAGACTGGCCTCAAACTGTTGGGCTCAAGCGATCCTCCCACCTTGGCCTTGCAAAGGCACCCCCAAGTTTTACATAGCCGCTCCCTCCCTTGACCCAGGTGTCTGCTCAAAGTCACCTCCTCAGAGAGGCCCTCCTGGACCACCTGAGCTAACACAACCATTCCGACTCTCAGGAACTCCTTCCCCTGGTTTACATTTATTTGTAGCACTTCTCACTACTGGAAATCATATATTCATTTGTTTATTTTCTGTTCTTCTGTAAAGTAAGACCCATAAGGGACAGATTGGGGTGAGCAGGAGAGGAGCTGCATCCACTCAGGGTTCACTGGCCCAGGAGGCACCAAATCAGACAAAGGGGCCATTCCTGATGGAACCAGTGCCCAGGGCTACCAAAACGGCGAGGCACAGGAGGGCAGCCAGGTGGGTGCTCCTCGATAGAGGTTTGAGGGCAGACTGAGTGTGACAAGCCTCTGATGTTGGGATAAGATCCTGCCACCCTTGGGAGGGCAGGTGGATGAGAAATAAAAGAAGCCATTATTTGCTGGCGTTAGGTGAATGCACACCCCAGGCTGGGTGTTAAGCTGAGCCTGGTTTCTTTGCCTCTTACAACTTGCCTATGCAATAAATCTGACCCTCCCCACTTTACAGAGATGTAACTGAGGCTCAGAAAGATCAAATAATTGGCCAGGATCACACAGCAGGTGCAGAGCGAGGACTCACAGCCCATTTCTGTCTACAAATCCCATCTCTGACTGAGGATGAGGGTCTGCTCCAATTTCAGAGAGCCCTATTGTCAAAAGGGTGTGGGAAAGCAGGTAAGGGAGAGAAACTGAAGTCTCCAAAGCTGGAAGCTGGTGCTGGGAATCCCAGCATGCTGGCTATGGGCTGAGAAGGGACCTTCAGAATCAGCCCCAAGTGTGTGGGTAGGAGAGACTGAGTCCCAGAGAGGGGGCAGGGGTGGAGAGGAGGGACCCATGAAGAAAGATGCCAGGCCCCTTTTACAGAAGGGTGACTAAGCCTGGGAGAGGAGCATTGCACGCCCCTCCTCCGAGAGGTACCCACCTTGGGGTTGAGGGACTGTGGCTTGCCCGCCTGGGTCTGGTGGTCCGAGGCCATGGTGGACGGTCCTCTGCAGGAATGACCTGGAAGACACGGGAAGCAGCACTGAGGACCTGGAGGGGCCATTGGCTTTTTCACTCTGTAGGGCCTGGGGACTACTCCTCTCTGGCCCCAAACAGTCTTCTTTCCACCCTGGTTTCAGCCGGTTCAGAGCTGTGGGGTCCGAAAGCAGCTACTTGAACTTCTGTCCTTAGCTTCATTTATTTGTATCCAGGCCAGCTCCAGAAGGAGGGAAAAATGAGGTCTACGCAAAAAACGGGCTGTGATCAACTAGAGCTTAAATCAGGTCCCAAGGGGGTCCCCGTCACTCAACCCCAGACAACAAATACCACACAGAATATAGATCTGTCAATCCCATAACTTCTGCCTTTATGCAGAAATAATTTAAGAAAATGGTGTGAAACAAACAAAACCTATGCATTGCCTGTATTTGGTGTGGTGGTGGCTCCCAGTTTAGGAACTCGCAAAGTTTCCCGTGCTCCTGCTCCTTCCCCCACCTCTCCCTGGGACTCATCTCCCCATCCCAGTACCTGGATTTCTCTTCTCTGCCACTGGTTTTACTCCCCCACTAGTGAAATTGTCTCTACAGAACTAATGTTACAAGAAAGGGAAGAAGTGGGTGCGATGGTAGAAATCCAGGCACTGTGGCAGGCAGCCAGGTAGACCTGCTGTAGCTAGTGAGAACATCAGAAAAATCTGGAAAATTGTCAGCCTCTTCCCGCTTCCTGCTGGAGGGGTGGCCAACCTGTGTTTCCCCAGGGGTAAGAGAGGAAGCCCGGCCTCCCTCTTCAGAGATAATGCCCAGCTTCCAGAAGCCCCTTCCATGTCAAAGGCCAAGACTGGATGTGTCCCAGAAGGAGGAAATTCAGTTAAGTGACCTGGGAACCAAACCTACTGCTCTCCCACAAGAAACCAGCCCCCTGGGCTTATCAGAGGGCCTGAGGTCCCACCAGCCCACTTCCCAGTCCTGAGCGTCCGCAGGCTGAAGAAGCTCATTTGGTCCAGTTCAGGAGCTGTCTCTGCTGCCTACCAAACTTGAGACTCTGCGCAGGTCAATTCCCCTCCCGATGCCTCAACTTCCTGTTCTGTGACATGGGGCAGTCACGATGTCTAATAATACCTGTGAACAGGTTGTGAGGATGCGACTATGTAACGCATCAGACCGGAAGCACTTGGCCATGGTCCCAGACTCCGCATGCAGCAAATGACAGCAACTGTGGCATTATTACAGTCATTGCTACCTCGCTTCAGTGGCATTAAAATCACCTGCTGCTGGAGCGCTCACGTACCTGGGGCTATGTCCTATCCCCTAGTGCTCCCAGAGACTGGGCACGAGGGGGCGCCCCGTAATTGCAGATGTGGAGAACTGACTCACCCACCTAGAAACGATGCTGAACTGTCACTGATTTGATTCTTGCAAAACTCTCAGCTACATTCTCCTCCTCAGTGGCTGGCAAAACAAGGACACTGGTAGTCCGTTGAATATTAATAATAAAGAACGTTGCCCCAGTACCCACTATGTGCCGGGCACTGTGCCGGATGATTCACCTACCTTCTCTTGAATCCACACAACAAAGAAGGCTTTTTTAAAACCCCTCTCCCCATTTACCAGAAAATAAAACTGAGGCTGACAGCATCAAAGTCTCTGCCCAAATCACCCTGTCAGAAAGTGGCGGGTGTTCCCATGCTTTCCGACAGGGATTAGGATGAGAGAAAGAAGGGGAGACACGAAAGAGAGGCGATCTTACCAGCGACACCAGTCCCTGCGAGTGCCGTGAAGCTCGGCCGGTGGGAGGTGGCATTTATACCTTCCCCAGAAGTGTCAGTGCCAAGATGAGTGACTGCTGCGTTCCTGCGAAAAGCAGGGTGAGAATGCCGGCTTAAGCTCCCACCGAAGCTTGGGTCAGCAAATGCTCACAGACATTGTGTCTCTGCACAATAATGTCATTAGCTTTCAGATTCGGCCGCGCCAGGGCAGTCAGGCGGCTAGGCAAGGAGATGCCCACTTTGTATGCATCAGCCATCCGGCTGCCAGGGCCGGGGCACGCCGGGTTCACTGGTATGGTCAGTCAGGCCCCGAGGCATGGCAGACAGAAGAGAATCTCAGTGGGCTTGAGGAAGAATAAGTAAAGAAGGGTGATTTGGCTGAGCCTGGGTTTCATTCATCTACCCATTTATTTATTCAATGAATATTTGCCGGGCATCCACTCGGCGCCAAGCAGAGTTCTAGGGAAGGTCTGGAAGAGGACCTACCCCAGCCTGCGCCATTCAGAAAAGCTACTGGGAGGTAGCACATCCCTCAGGGATGGAGAAGAGGAAGAAGCCTGGGAACAGGGTGGGAGGAAAGTTCCAAGCAGGAAGGGCCCACAGATAAGGAACCTGCATGGTGTATTTCAAGACCTGAAAACAGGTTAACATAGCTAAAGCATGGCATGTGACAAATAGGGCCTGTGCCAGGTGGCCAAGGCGGGCAGGGGCCTGATGTGGCAGGACCAGGGAGGGCCACTGTGGAGAGCACAGTTCATTCTCCAGGCCCCTGGCTGTTTCTTTTGTTCTTTTTTCTTTTCTTTCTTTTTTTGAGACAGAATCTCCTCTGTCGCCTAGGCTGGAGTGCAGTGGTGCAATCTCGGCTCACTGCAACCTCTGCTCCCAGGTTCAGGTGATTCTCCTGTCTCAGCTTCCCTAGTAGCTGGGACTACAGGTGTATGCCACCACATCCTGCTAAATGTTTATTTATTTATTTTGTATTTTAGTAAAGATGGGGTTTCGCCATGTTGCCCAGGGTAGTCTTGAACTCCTGAGCTCAGGCAATCCGCCTGCCTTGGCCTCCTAAAGTGCTAGGATTACAGGCGTGAGCCACCACACCCAGCCCATTTCTTAACCACTGTCCTAGAGTAAGAGGCTCCTACATCCCTACCGCTGGCCCCATCACTGCCACATGGGTGCCCAGCCTTTATTCACGCTTCTTAAGTGCACAAACCTTTGCAGCCCAGGTTGTGTCTTGATCCAATCTGAGGCTTGGAAACTGGGTCAAATATACCTGCTTTTCCCCATCTCTCATTTCCCGAAGGCACATAAGCATGCACACACGTGCACACACTCTACACACACACACGCCCCAGTCCCCAGCTGTGCCGTTACCTTTGCAGCACTCACCAACACCTAGTCTTCTGTTACTCATCGATTTTCCGTCTTTCCCATGAGAAGACAAGCACCACACAAGCAAAGATGTTGCCCTTCTGGTTTACCATGGTATTGCCAGGGCCCAGTGCCTGACACACAGTAGGTACTTTTTTAAAATCCCAGGGGCTGCTGTAACAAAGTGTCACAAACTGAGTGGCTTAAAAACAACAGGAACTTGGAATGGAAAATAATGTTGCAAAGATGGAAAACAGTGTGGCTGTCTCAAAAAAAAACAAAAAAAAAAACCAACATAGAATTACCATATGAGCCAGCCACTCCACTTCTGCGCATGTGCCCAAAAGAATTGAAAGCAGGGAATTGAAGAGATATTTACGCACCCATGTTCATAGCAGCATTATCCACAATAGCTGAAAGATGGAAACCACCCAAACGTCCATCAACGGGTGAATGGATAAACACTATGTGGTCTATCCATACAATGGAATATTATTCAGCCTTAAAAAGAAAGGAAATTCTGACTCCAACATGATGAGGCTTGGAAATGTTATGCAAAGTGAAATAAACCAGACACAAAAGGGACACATATTGTATGATTCCACTTACGTAAGTTACCCAGAGTAGGCAAATTCGTGGAGACTGGAAGTAGAATAGAGGTTACCAGGGGCTGGGAGGAGTGGGGAATGGGGAGTTATGGTTTAATGGGTACAGAGTTTCAGTTCAGGATGATGAAAAAGCTGTAGATGGATAGTGGTGACAGTCCCGTGACAATGCCACTCAACTGTACACTTAAAAATTGTTAAAATGGTTAATTTTATGTTATGCATTATTTTGCCATAAAAATGTCCAAAAACCTCCAGAAGTTTATTGTTACATAATTCTGGAGGCTGAGGCTGGAGGTCTGACATCAGGGTGTCAGCAGGGCCATGCCTGCTCCAGGGGTTCTAGGTGAAGGTCCATCCTTGTCTCTCCCAGCCTTTTGTGTCTGCTGGTAATGGCTGGTGTTCCTCGGATGGGAACTGCATTACTTTAATCACGTGGCCATCTTCTCCCTGAAGATGCACATCATCTTCCCTTAGTGCATGGCTGGTTCTATGTCTACATTTCTCCTTTTTTTGTTTTTTTCTGAGATGGAGTCTCACGCTGTCACCCAGGCTGGAGTGCGGTGGCGCGATCTTGGCTCCCTGAAACCTCCGTCTCCAGGGATCAAGCGATTCTCCTGCCTCAGCCTCTGGAGTAGCTGGGACTACAGGCACACACCACCACACCCAGCTAACCCAGCTAATTTTTTTTTTTTTTTTTTTTTTTTTTTTGTATTTTTAGTAGAGACGGGGTTTCACCATGTTAGCCAGGATGGTGTCAATCTCCCGACCTCGTGATCCACCTGCCTCAGCCTCCCAAAGTGCTGGGATTACAGGCGTAAGCCACCACGCCTGGCCTAAATTTCTCCTTTTTAAAAGGATACCAGTCATGTTGGTTTAGGTGACTTCATTCAGTAACTTCACCCTAGTGACTTCATTTTAAATGGATTCCTTCTGTAAAGACCCAATTGCCACATAGAAGGTCACATTCTGAGATACTGGGGGTTAGGACTTTGGAATACCTTTGATGGACACAGTTCAGCTCATAATAGACCTCAGTTAATATTTGTTGAATAAATGAATGGATTCAAGATCTGGCTGCATCCTTATAAATAAGAAAGAATTCCTAACATCTATATAGAATGAGAGCTTGACACGAGTCAGGCACTGTCCATACTCATCTTTTTAAAATCCTCCCAACAAACTCAAGAGGTAAGTGTTGTATTTATTGATCATTTCATTTTATAAAAGAGAAAACTGAGGCTCAGAGAGACTAAGCAACTTGTCCAAGGTTGCACAGCCAGTGAGTAGTAAGGACTAGGCTTTATGGATTCAGCCATAAACTGTCTGGTTTCATTAATTCAGTCCTCACAACTCTCTTTGAAGTAGGTATTATTAATGTCCCCTAATACAGATTAGGAAGCCAGGGCTCATAGAGCTTAAGTGGTTTGTCCGAGGTCACACAGCCGGGAAGTGGTAGGAACAGGACTTGAACTTAGATCAGTCTACCTTCAAGATAAATGCTCTTAACTTTTAAACTATAAAGCCTCCTGGCTGGGTGTGGTGGCTCATGCCTGTAATCCTAGCACTTTGAGAGGCCGAGGTGGGTGGATTGCCTGAGCTCAGGGGTTCAAGACCAATCTGGACAACATGGTAAAACCCTATCTCCACTAAAATACAAAAAAATTAGCTAGGCATGGTAGTGTGTGCCTGTAACCTCAGCTACTTGGGAGGCTGAGGCAGGAGAATTGCTGGAACCTGGGAGGCGGAGGTTGCAATGAGCCAAGATCAAGCCATTGCACTCCAGCCTGGGCGACAGAGCAAGACTCGGTCAAAAAAAAAAAAAAGCTTCCTACTAAGCTCTGGGAATTTACTGACGTTTTTCTCCTCCAGGCCTCAATTTCCCCATCAGAAATGAGGTCCTTGGTCCCTGCACCATGTATTAGTTGGTGCAAAAGTAATTGCAGTTTTTGGCATTACTTTTGATGGTAAAAACCACGATTACTTTTGCACCAACCTATTATTCTCATCGAGGAAGCAGTCAGGGTTCCCAATGGCTGACAGAAGCGGAGAAACATGCTACAGAGATGTTGATTATTTCTGTTTTTACAGATGAGCAAAGTGAGGCTCAGAGAGGGGACTTTCTTGCCCAAAATCTCACAGCCAAGAAGTGGTAGAGCTGGGATTTGAACCCAGAGATCAGGATTTGTAGACTCCAAAACCCTCAGCCTACCCTACTTCTCTTCTCTTACCTCGATTTCCTTCTCCTTCACACTTGTGAAGAATTAAATATTTTGGTCCATGGGCCTTAGAGTGTTTGTAGTTACATCCTTTGTAAAATGAGCCAGTCATGTGAAGCCCTCGGTAGCAGCTCTTACAAATATTATAGAAAGTGCTCAGTGACTATGGCTTTTATGCTGTTCCTTATTATTACATCTGTGCAGATGGCAATGTTTTTAAAGACTTTTACATTTCTTTCTTTTCACTCCCTCACTCAAAGTAGGTACCAAGACAGAGACTGTCAGCAACCTGCGTGTTTCTCTATACTCGCTCATTATTCATTTCTGCTTCCAGCAAATGTGTCAGCTATAAACTCAGTGGGGAGTGGTACAGATAGGGTCCCCACGCCGGGGCAACTTACAGCCAATAGGTTCCTAAGATCTCAAAATGCTTTGCCATTTTTAAAAATTTGAGATAGGGTCTTGCTCTGTTGCCCAGGTTGGACTGCAGTGGCGTTATCACTCCTTCGATGCAGCCTCCAAGTGCTGGGCTCAAGTGATCCTCCTGTCCCAGCCTCCCAAGTAGCTCAGACTATAGGTATACACATCCATGCCCAGCTAATTAAAAAAAAAAAATTAGGGATGGGGTCCGGGTATGTCTTGAACTCTAAACCTCAAGTGACTTTTCTGCCTTGGCCTTCTAAAGTGCTAGAGTTCCAGTCACGGGCCACTGCACCTGGCCAACCTTCGCTTTTTATGTGACCTGGGCAATTTGCTTGTTTAGCCAATGAGCTATCTCATGGAGAGCTAAGCCAAGGCTCAGTTGTCTGTGCCCCCAGAGCCTACATAGGATCGAGCACATAGTAGGTGCCCAGAAAATACGTATTGACTGGTTGAATTAATTAATGATAAAGACCAGGGGTGTCTTTTTTGGGAGCTTTGCCAAAAGCAG